GGCTCTGCCGTGCATGATCCTCAGCATGTCTCATCTGGAGTAGCCCGACTTCCTCATGTGGCTCATTGCTCACCAGGCTTTGTGGCTGGAAGGGCCACGCCAATGCAAGGTCTCTCACTAGGACACGGCTGCTTCTGAGAGCCACGTTCAAGCTCCTGCCATGTTTGGCTGCACACAGCCCTATGAACAATGACCGACATCTGCAAAGGGAGAGAGGCGGCGTAGATGAACGGGGCTGACCTGGATGGATTGTGAGCTGCGGGGAGCCTCCTGCTCATGTTACAGAATTAGCCTGGGTCTCACCCTACAAGGGGCTCACCAAAGGAACTGCGCTCAGGGTTGTCCAGTACTCAGCGGGGCAGCTAGCGAGCAGCTGAGCATTCCCGGCACTAGAGTATGGGATGGCCCCCTTTGTGAGGCAGAGCTAAGGTAACAAGCTGCTTTAGCCACCACCAAGGGCACCTGCAGGCCACATTTCTTGGCAGAAAGTTGTGGATGAGAATGTGCTTGGGGTTGATGTCATCACAGGCTGCCAAAGACCATCGCTTTTTGAGGTAGTGCAGGGAAGAACTGCATCGATAGAGGATAAAATATTAGAGGCCAACCAGAGCCCCACAAAGTAATTGGTCTGGTGTGTAACATGGACTTTCACCAGATCTCAGTCTAATGCAGCACTAAGCCAAGCCCAGTCATCTTTTGATGGGAGATTTCCCTTAGCAAAGCCAGGAGAACGCAGCAGGGAGTGAATCACGCCTGAGCGTAAGGTGCTCAGAGCTCTAATCTGTCCAGAGTAACAGGCCCATGGTGCTTTTCTAGACGTGTTAACAGCCATTTCCTTGTTTAATCCTCCGTGGCTAGTTACGTTCCCCCTTGGTAAAGTCATCTGGCAAAAGTGATTACTTCTTTCAAATTCCCTGGCTGTGGCCGCGTGGTGTGCACGCACAAACCTGAGTGGAGTACAGGAGTGACCACGCTAGTCAATGATAATCCAAATCCCCAGCTGGGATTCTGCTGCCCCATTCCCACAAGTCACTTGTTCCTTACAGCACAGGGCTACTGCTAGGGATGCACTGGGCTTCCTTACAACTAGTGCAGTCACATTAACCTGTGAGCCAGGCCTTTCTATCATCATGAGGGGGAACAACACCAGAGGCAAGTCTGTTTGCCTTTCAACGCCAATCTGGGCTCTAAACTGCCCTTCTGCCCCGAGTACATTGAGATTGGAAATTAGGAGGCTTCCAACCATCAGAGGTGGGAGGTTCTGGAAAAGCCTTGCACTAGGCCAGGAGTGAGGAACCTTTGTTGGGTGCTGCTGACCCACAGAAAAATCAGGGGGGCCACATATAAGTGAGAAGTGGGGGAGGGGCTTGCATGCTGGTGCAGGCTCCCCAATTCTGGGGTGGGGGGGTTGACGCTGAGCCTCAGGGGGCTGGATCCTGTCCCCAGGCCTGAGGGTCACCATCTCTGCGGTAGGCACAGCAAGGGCAAAAAACCCTAAAGGATTGTAATACAGAACTCGGCTGTCCTTACCTGTGTGCAGCTGGGTCAGGCACCTGAACATTTGGGGCACCACCTGCCTCTCTGTCCCTGTTCTGTGGCTCTGCTTCGTCTGGAAGAGATCTAGTTACAAGTGGAAACAGCCTCCTAGCAGACTATTGAACCTGTAAAAGAACCATTCAAGTAGCAGTGATGCCACTTAACAGACATTTGCCAACCCCAAGTACGCCCTTGTCAGTAGTTTATTAGTGTGTTGCTGAAGATTATAAAATTACATCTCTAAAAAACCATCACTCCCTCCCCCCGCCCCAGGGCTGATATTGGGCACACGAGCTGCTCAATAGTATGTGTAGGGCTCCATAAAGCCTAGGGATAGAACTTGATGCATTCACAAAAAGGACTGGATGAGAGGCGTGCCTGCAGTAGCACGGGGCTTCACTCGATGCCCTGGGGGTCCTCTCCTCTGCTGTTCGGTTTGTCTCGTACTCTCTGAGGGATGAGCAGGGGCATCTCTCTGTATAAAATGTGTGGTCTGGGTCTAGAGAGCCCTGTCAATGAGATGAGACAGAGCACGAGCTGAGACTTTTGGAAAACAGGGATGAAAATGATGCTGTCAGATCTCAGCACAATGTCCCTGCGGTACGGCTGAGAAAATCTATTAAATGCTGAGCTCTGCCCTCTATTCTTTATCAGCGATTAACAGTGAACTTTACTTCAAAAAGTCAAAGAAAGAAAAGTTTTACATTAAGTACAATGGGGGCAGTGGCACTATGAATGGAACAGGCATCAAAATGAAACATTTCACAGCAGTCCAGCATCCCCCTCCTTAGCACGGACCGCATGGAAAACACGCAGAATCAGCACGACCGGCCAGCACCGCGGAGACAAGCCCCGTGAATCTCCGTGATGTTGAGCCCCAAGTGTTTCTCTCATTTACTTAGCACCAGTCTCGAGAGCTGCAGTGTCCAACCAGTTTTGAAGCAGTAGCCACTATGGCTACTGGTAAAGTGAACTAGCCACACTCAACCGGGCAAACAGCCACATGTGGCTAGCATGTTGGGCACCATGGCTCTAAAGCGTCACATGACATTGTGAAGTGGGCGGGGGGAGTGGAGTCAGAGATAGGACACTAAGAAACAGATTCATAAAAGCCAATTATCTGGGTTTGCTTGGAAGTGCTGCGTTTTGGTGCCTATCACTCACTGAGCAATCCCTTCTCTCAGCTCACAAGGCAAGCATCAGGGCCATGCCTACCAGTGCTGGTGCCCAACTCAGCTTAGCACTGAGACCGCTCCCTGGGGAACAGCTGCTCCACAGGAGGGGCTGCAGGGACAGAAGCTGTGAGTGACAGGGGGTTGTTAACTCTCCTGGAGCAGATGCCACTTTCTGCCAGTGTCTGGTCAGGGAGAGCTGGCCTAGAGCAGGCCAGGGCGGGAGGCGGGAGGCGGGAGCCACGGGCTGGAAAAGCAGAGGAGGACTGGATTGCCAGCCAGGGAGAAGCAGTGATTTGAAGAGGAAAAAGGGAGTTACTCGCCTAGCGCAGTAACGAGTGTTCTTCGAGATGTGTGTCCCCGTGGGCGCTCTGCTCTAGGTGAAGGGTCGCCCTGAGCCGCAGATCGGAGCTTTGTACAGCAGTTTCCCCCGTTGAGCCACGCATGCCCAGGAGGCGTCTCGAGCCCTTCCCGCCTCCTGAG